ATTGTGTGTTGTGTCGTCTCTAGGGAAAGCTGTTCATCATCTCTTGTGGATTTCAAGAGAGGTGTTTTCTTATCTTTATCTTTTCCATTGTAATTTGTTTGTAACAATTGTGATTGTAGTGACAACGTTAATCCTCTGTTTGAGTGATTAGCAACTGGACGTAGGGTCTTTTGATCCGAACCAGTATAAATCTCCTGTGTAAGATTCTATCTCTTCTCTATTTACATTTACACAGTTTTTAATCGGTAAAATTTGGGGAAAATTTTGAAAACCTAATTTTTGTTAATAAACAAATTCACCCCCCCTCTTGGGTTTTGTCCGACCACGCGATCATTCTGCTGCGCGATTCTAACAAATTTTGCCCTGCAAAAAGTGGGGGTCTATTGATAAAAGCACTCTCGGCAAATGTTTGGTTTTGTCTGGCCATTTTCGAAATTTGAATGACTATCAAAACAAGCTCTGATACCACTTGTTAGAATTTGTGCATCAGAATGTTCGTGTTTATGGACAAAAACCAAGAGGGGGGGGGGGGTGAATTGGTTTCTTATAAAAAATTAGGGTTTGAAAAATTTTCCCCAAATTTCACTGATTAAAATGCTTGTAAAGTAAAGAGATAAGGGAAAGAAGATTACACAGTTGATTTATACTGGTTCGGATCAAAAGACCCTACGTCCAGTTGTTAATCACTCTAAAAGAGGATTAACGTTGTCACTATAACCATAGTTTACAACAAATTACAAATTGAAAAAGATAAGGATTAGAAAACACCTGTCTTGAGTCACACAAGAGATTAACACCTCCTTTGAATCCACAAAGGATGAATAACAGTTTTTTCTAGAGACGGCACAACACACAATCCACCAAGAAACCCACTCAGTGATTCTTATCGCTTCTAGCCCACACTAGGTTTTCAAAAGCCCCTTTTTCTTCCCTACAGAAAGTTCTCTAGCAATCACAACTCTTAAATTTTGTATGAAAAAGGTTTGTTTTGAAAACCTAGTGTGGGCTAGAAGCGATAAGAATCACTAAGTGGGTTTCTTGGTGGATTGTGTGTTGTGCCGTCTCTAGGAAAAGTTGTTGTTCATCCTTTGTGGATTCAAAGGAGGTGTTTTCTAATTCTTATCTTTTTCAATTTGTAATCTGTTGTAAACTATGATTATAGTGACAACGTTAATCTTCTTTTAGAGTGATTAACAACTGGACGTAGGGTCTTTTGATCCGAACCAGTATAAAACAACCATGTAATCTTCGTTCCCTTATCTCTTTACTTTACAAGCATTTTAATCGGTGAAATTTGGGGAAAATTTTTAGAACCCTAATTTTTTATAAGAAACTAATTCACCCCCTTTTTGGTTTTTGTCCCTAAACGCGAACATTCCGCTGCGCAAATTCTAACAATCAGGAGGAAGAATTCAAAGTTTGAAAGGTTTGATTCACATAGAAAGTCATGGTCAGGTTACATTAACATTGGTTTGGATTAATTTCAAGGTGAACAAAGCACCCAGGTGAGTTTTGAGCCTTATTCTTTTTTGTGTGCGCCACTCATGACATAAGAACCTTCCAGAACTTGATGATTTCTCTGTGACACCAGATGAACATATACACCAGTGGATATGATTTAGGCTTTCTTTGTCTTAGCTACTTAGCCAAATAGCCTACCCTTACCTTAAATTATCCTTTGAACCCACCTTTGAACCCACCTTTGAGCCTTAGCCTTTTCTTGAATTTAAACCCAAGATTTAAAGTCTTTCTAGTCCAAAACTACCCAAACCTAGACTTTAAGGGAAGTAAGGAGTGTGAAATCATCACAAAAATTCAGTTCTAATCACCGCCAACAAGTCCAAAAAATAAAAGAAAAAAAAAGAGAAAAGTGCCAAAGTATAAAGAAAAAAAAATCATTTTGTTTGTGGGTCAAAATCATAAAAGAGCTCTAAAAGCACTCTAATATAAAGGCGACAAAACAAAAATATGCAACTGGAACAAAGCTTTAAGATACATTGATCCATGTTCTTTATTTTTCCTAAAGTCTTAGCCCACTTTCCTAAAATAACCTATCCTGAACCCTAGCCCCATTACAAGCCAAGTAAAAGTCCTATTGATCTACAAAGGTATGTGTTCTAATGGTGACAATTTAGAGATCTTTCAAGCCTATGATAAAGGATTGATGTCATGATGTGATGATGATTGAAATTTTCAGCATAAACACTTTAGACTACAAGAAAAATCGAAATTACCGACGAACAAAATCCGTCGTTAAATGTTATGAGTAATTACCGACGGATTTTTCGTCGAAAATATTTTTATTATTTATTAAATTTTTTATTTATTTAAACCTATATTTCTAAAGAAACCCCCTCCCCCTTTTTATTTATTTAAACCTATATTCAAGTTTGAATCGAAAATATTTTTATTATTTATTAAATTTTTTATTTATTTAAACCTATATTTCTAAAGAAACCCTCTCCCCCTTTTTATTTATTTAAACCTATATTCAAGTTTGAATTATAATTTAGATTGACGGTATTGTCACCGAGTGATTCGAACTAAGTACCCCGGAGTTGGAGGTCGATACTCCAACCACTAAACTACCGAATTTTTTGATTATAATTTACAATAAATTATATTTATATACAAATAAATGTATATCCATATAAATACAATATATTGATATATTTATATTTTATATATTTTTATATTTTTATATTTGTATATTTATACATTTGTATATTTATATATTTGTATATTTATATATTTGTATATTTATATATTTGTATATTTATATATATTTAGATATTTTTATATATGTATATATAATTAAATATTTATTTTTTAAAATTATTTAATTTAATAAATTATTATAAATTAATCTATTTATGATTAAATTAATTTATTAAATAGAAAAAGTATTTAATTTTTTAATTACGTGAATAATTAATTTATTAAAATATATTTAAAATTAAGTAATTATTATATAATTTTACTATCTCATCGGTAAGTGATTGTTAATTTATCGATGGGTTTACCAACGGATATATCCGTCGATAATTAATTGTTAATTTACCGACGGATTTACCGATGGATATATCCGTCGGTAAGACCAAATTCTATAATCTGTCGGTAATTTCCATCGGTAATAACTAATTTTCCGACGGCTACAAATCCGTCGGTAAAAATCTGTCGGAAATAAGCGATTTTCTTGTAATGGATTAAAGTAAACATTTTACCACACGATAGGATGTCCGCTTGAAATGAGTCCTGGAATCCTTAAAGAGTACTTGACCTTGATAATACTTTGTGAGTTATGATCTTGATTTTTTTTATTTTCTCACTTTTAGTTGATGAAGTTTTCCTTGACTATTATAGTTTTCAAGATGTCAATAACATTTTCCACATTATCCATCTTTGCATTGCATGCATTCTTTTTTTTCTTTCATCTTTTCTTTCTTTTATGTTTTGCTTGGAAGTGCAAAATAGAAAAAGTGTGAAGTATTTGATGTGTGTCATTTTACTCTTTATTTATTGATCTAAGAGCACTTTCTAAGCTAGTTATTCTATTCATAAACCATGCATTAAACATGTTTTCATTAAAAACATAGCATAATTCAGTTTTTCTTAATTTGTTGCATTTTAGGTAGTTTTAGCATAAATAATATACATGCATACATGCACATTGCATATTTCATTTTCTTTTTTTGTAGGACAAGTAATTTGAGATGGGCCAAAGTGATGGAAAGAAATGTTCAAATTGAAGCCGTCAAGCTTCACTATTCTTGGAAGTCCAAGTTTGCTTATGCAACCCACTTGCAGAATGCTACAAATGGAAATTTTGAATCAAGCAAGTTAACTAGTGTGGGAATCCAATCTAGCTGAATTAAAGGCTAGTAGAAATCAAGAATTAAATGTAAATCAGTGCTGGATCACTCAAAATAAGAAAGTAGCAGACTATTTTCTCCAAATCAGTCCCAAAAATTCTCTTCACAATAATCAGATTTTGCAATCATTTATTTGAGAAATATTTGATTTTATTGTAATTAATTTTAGGCTTAATTTCTTATGTTCAAACCCCTATAAATAGAGGTCTTACGACAACCACAATCATAATCTCTTGGCCTGGGGTGAGAATTGTTGTTTTGTCTCGTCCCCAGTTTCTTTTCCTACTCTCAATTCGTAGTTTGATTTTTAGTTAGACGAGTTCATCTATTACTACTTGTACTTTTGGTTTGTTCTCTTTTATTTAATTTGCAATTTCTATTAAATTTTTCAGTTTATCTTGCTCTAGTTATTTTATTTATTCAGTGCTCATTTTAATTTACTGCTATTTAATTGTTTAGAATTTTTATTCCAGTATTGCATAATTTTCACTTTCAATTCGTCTCGTTTCCAATTCCAATTCGAAATTTAGTTTTAGAGTTATTGCTTTTAGAAATTTCCAATTTAATTACTTCATTATTTTATTTCAAAGCAATTCTTGATTCCTGCACTTTTAATTAAAAACACTTTATTTTAATTTTATAAGTTTCAGTTATTTAAATTTTGTTTTTGTTTAATTTTAATTATCGTCAATATTCTATAGTAATTTGATTTTAATTTTTATTATTCTGCATCAATTTATTTCTTTTTCACTCTAACATTCATCCCCCAATTTACTGTTTTAGAGAACATGATATGTGATAATGAATATGTTCCTATAATTGTGTCCTTGTGAGATTCAACACGGGATTAGCTATACTGCATTAGTTTAGCAACTTGTTTGTTATTTTTAATCAGTATTTTGTGCAACCAGAATATTGTTATCATGGGTATATAACTTTTTTTTTTTCAATTTTAATCTCGATCTCTAGCCATCAAATTCTGTTCTATTAAGTAAGAAAATGACTAAGTTATCTTGCATCAGAATCATTATTAGTAATAAACTGGACCTAACACTAGAAATGAGAATTATAGAGAGAAAAATCTATATAAGAGAAAAGACAATCTACCCTTTTTAGTGAGAAGTTTATTTACCTATGGTATAAAGTCCACAGTTTGATGGCCTCATGCTGATGCCAGTCATGACCATGATGCAACTTGGTTCCATGAATTATGTCAGTAAGGTTTTGAACATCGTGCAGTTTCGTTGCGTAGAGATTGAACCACTTTGCAGCAGTTGAATGAACCCCAATTTCACTGCTGATTTTACCAGCAAGTGACATGGTGATGAAAATGAAGCAAGAATATGAAACAGACAAAGAAGGATGAGAGATGGTAAAGATTATTGCCACCATATCCCACTTATAAAGAACATAACTTACCTACTCTTAACAATTCACTAATTAATTAAACGTTGGGGTCCATTTCGCACTACTAAAAAATCATTAAATTCATGTGAATTTTTCTGCAAATTTTTTTAGTAAAAAATAGTTACAACTTTTCCTAAGAAAAATATTTCACAACAAATTATTACAAATTTATTTGCAAAATATTTTTTCTAGAAAATATGTAAGATTTTTTTGCAAAAAATTAATAGTAAGAAATTCCTACAAAATTTTCTTCAATTATATAATTATAATTTTATTTTATTTTTCAAATATATATTCGTATAAAATTTGGCAGGAATGAAAATTATTTTCTATATTTTTTTTAAATAAAATTTGTAAAAAAGATTTAATAATATTTTAAAAAATGGCAGCAAAATTTTAAAATAATATTTTTTAAAATGATTTTAATTATTTTTATAGAAAAATAATAAAATATTTTATAATTGGTTATTTTAAAAATACCGGTTTACGAACGTTTCTCCCTCTACTCGAGCAACGTTTCTCAACCTTTCTCCCTCTCTCCTCAGCAGCGTCTCTCCTCAGCAGCGTCTCTCCTCAGCAACGTCTCTCTTCAGCAACGACGTTTCTCCCTCTCTGCTTCCATTCCATTAATAGGAACCAGTTTCCTCTTCATTTCTTCTTCTTCGACCATATTACCATTCTTCCTTTTTTAAGCACTACTATTTCTTCTTCCTTCCTCTGTATGGTTGACGGGCTTACTTGAATAGCAGTGGAAGATGAAAAATATCACATAAATAGGTATAATCTTAATTACCGGATTCTTTGATATTTTAGTTCTATTTCACATAACTTATTCAACTATTCAGTGTATTCCAGAACGTATTCTAGTTATTGTTTTACTTTTTATTACTAATTTGAATGTTAGGGTTCATAGAAATGAAATTGGGTTTGATTTCTGTTGCAGATTGGGGTCTGTTGAAGATTAGGGGAAGGAATTTTCAGAGCCTCCATTTAACGTAAGTTGATTAACATTGCAACATAGGATTTTATTCTGAGTGTTATTCTGGTGTGCTTTAGAATAGTACGTTGAAGTAATATAATCAATAATGTATGTTTTGTGAATATTTGTATTTTATTTCACTACAAAAAAAACGCTTATTATCTACGGGTAAAATCCGTAGGTAAGGACAAAAATCCGTAGGTAATGTCACTTTACCTACAGATTTCTTTCCGTAGAAAATCCGTAGGTAATTTGGTCGTAGGTAATTACCTACGGATTTATAATCCGTAGGTAATGCACTCGCTGGCATTACCTACGGATTATAATCCGTAGGTAATGCACTTACCTTAAAAAAATATTTTTATTTATTACAACCCCTCCCCTTTATATTATATTTTTATTATTTATTATATTTTCGAAACTTTTAATTATTATTAGATTAAGGGAATTGTCATTGGCAGGATTCGAACCCAGTACCTCGAGTTGGAGGCTGATACTCCAACCACTAAGCTATTAGGTTATTTTGAAAATAATTTACAAATAAATTATATTTATATTTATCCGTGTAAATATATAAATATAAAATATAAAAATATAAAATATATATAAATATAAAATATATATAAATATAAAATATATATAAATATAAAATATATATAAATATAAAATATATATAAATATAAAAAATATATAAATATAAAAAATATATATAAATATAAAATATATAAATATAAAATATATATAAATATAAAAAATATATAAATATAAAATATATTTATATTTTGATATATTTATATATTTATATATTTATATATTTATACATTTATATATTTGTATTTATATATTTATATATTTATATTTATATATTTATGTATTTATATATTTATGTATTTATATATTTATATATTTATATATTTATCTATTTATAAATACTTATGTATTTATATATTTATGTATTTATGTATTTATGTATTTATATATTTATGTATTTATATATTTATATATTTATGTATTTATATATTTATATATTTATATATTTAAATATTTATGTATTTAAATATTTATGTATTTATGTATTTATGTATTTATGTATTTATGTACTTATGTAGTTATGTACTTATGTAGTTATGTACTTATGTAGTTATGTAGTTATGTACTTATGTATTTTTGTACTTATGTATTTTTGTATTTATGTATTTCTATATTTGTATATTTGTATATTTGTATATTTGTATATTTGTATATTTATATATTTGTATATTTATATATTTGTATATTTATATATTTGTATATTTATATATTTATATATTTATATATTTATATTTTATATTTATATATTTTATATTTATATATTTTATATTTATATATTTTATATTTATATATTTATATATTTATATATTTATATATTTATATATTTATATATTTATATATTTACACGAATATTAAGTATAATTTAGTTGTAAATTATTATTAGAATATCCTAATAGTTTAGTGGTTGAAGTATCAATTTTCAATTTTAAGGTACTGGGTTCGATTCTTGCTAGTGACAATTTTTTTAGTTTAATATAATTTATCTACGGATAGTAATTCCGTAGGTAATTACCTACGGAATTACCCACGGATGATATTACCTGCGGAAAATATCCGTAGGTAATGGATAATTACTCACGGATAGAATTCCGTAGGTAATATCCATATGTAATGTACACTTTACCTACGGATATTATTTACGTAGGTAATTACCTACGGAATTATCCACGGATTACATTACCTACAGATAATATCCGTAGGTAATGGATAATTACCTATGGATAGAATTCCGTAGGTAATGTACAATTTACCTACGAATTTTCATCCGTGGGTAATATCCGTAGGTAATATCCGTAGGTAATGGATAATTACCTACGGATAGAATTCCGTAGGTAATATCCGTAGGTAATGTATAATTTACCTACGGATTTTCATCCGTGGGTAATATCCGTAGGTAATGTAAAATTTACCTACGGATTTTTATCCGTGGGTAATATCCGTAGGTAATGTAAAATTTACCTACGGATTTGTATCCGTAGGTAATATTCCGTAGGTAATAGGCTTTTTTTTTTGTAGTGTTTTATTTTGTTTGATGTTTACTGTTTTTTTCGCTCAATAGTGAATATTTTATAGACACATTATACACCAATGATTGTTAAGCAATATTATTTCCCACCAAGTTGTGACTAATAATAAACTATTTATATTAATGTGGGCTTGATTGAAGATCATGAAGATTTGTGAATGTGTTGATGATTTGTGTTGGCACCAAGCACCTTTCCTCTCTGTATATCTCTTCAACAAACGGAGACACAACCAGACCCCGTAGCGTTTCAACTCCTGCTTTCTCCTTCTCCTACAATTACCAAAACACTTTCATGACAAACTCATTATCTATTTCTTCCTCTCAAACTCTTCACCATATTCTCTTCCTCTAATCGAATGCCCAGATCTCTCTAATGCAATAATCAGCAATTTCAACTTTGGTATTTACTAAACATTAATTTCAAACTGTGAAATAAATTCAAGTGAAATAAAACATACCATCATTTATGATCCGCATGATTCAAAATATGTCAAGGAATGTACAATTACCTCGAGGGAGTGCATGAGTTCAAGCATTTCAACTTGTGCTTGAAGGTACTTCACATACTTTGCAGCTGCATGAAACATCTCACCTGTGTTCATCTTGGGTCCTCTAGGAACCAACTTCCCAAGCTCTTGGGTCTTCTCAGTGATCTTTCTTCTTCTGTCACGTGCTGCTACGCTCTGTCGAGATATGGTTTTTTCATTTCCTGTTTTCTCAAACTGAAAATCCACACATTGTGGTGGAAACTCACAGGAGGAGACGTGTTGTTGCAGCTGCTCTGTCTGCGAGGAATAACAAGTATCATAAGGCACAGCAAACCCCTCTAAGTAATCGGATGGAAGCACTGTTTGTGTGAAGTCTTGCAGTGAGGAGTGGATTTCTCTTTCATGGGATAACTTTTGACGTTTGGGACATGGTGGAAGATGGTAATCTTCTTGAATTGGAAAACTGTCACGACGAGTAAGAGAAGCAAAGGAATCATAAGAAGGGTGTATGTACGGCTCGAAAAGCCCGTTTGAAAGAAAAGAGCTTTCATCTGAGTAGGAGAAAAGGTGTTGGAGGTTTGGCGTTGTTATTTCTTCCTGCATGACTTCATAGAAGAGGTTTGAAATTTGAATAGCGTCCCAGTTGAAGTAGGTGTTTGGAGCCATCATAACAAATTAACCTGCAACACGAAAATGGAAATTTTAATAAACTTATAATAGAAGTAAAGTCACATCAGACATGAAATAATAAGGTAAAATGAGTGTAACAGCAGAAGAGAAAAAACATGAAATATGGTAATGCACGTACGTGCATGCAAAGACAAGAATCTTTGGTTGATAGTTGTAGCCTGTAGCTGTGCGTAGAGAATCTTTCAAAGAGTTACAGCCGTAAGAGAGAAGTTATCATCGTAGAAGTACGATGTTGTAGTTGTAGATTTCAGTTTGTGAGAAGAAAAAGACTGTGTGAAGACTTTTGCATTATAGATAAGAGCTTATTATTATTATTAGTTAAAATTAATTGAAAATCACAATTTTACAGGGCCTCAATTCTTATTCAAAGAACTCTGTTCATGATTTCACTATGCCTAACAAATTTTAACCAGTGTAAAGTGTGTATTAGGAGTATATTAGAGAGTGAAATGTATATTGCCAACACTTCTCTTAGTTGAATTGAAATGGATTCTTATTTATTGCATAATGAATAATTTATGATATTTAAGTGTAATGTGTGACTGTTGGCAGATATCTAAAATTACTGACTGAAAGTGTCATTGTTTTCCCACCATTCTCTTTGAAAACATATTGGGAGTTCTCTGCCTTCAAGAATCCAACTGGGGGCACTGAAGGTTCATGGTAGCTGACTCACTCTAACATGAAACAGAATTTTAAAAGTGATTTGATGTTTTTTTTTATATCCTTTTAGCTTCCTATGGTGGTTGAAAATGTTCTGTTTCATTAGAATTTATATTCTAGTTTCCTCTCAATTGCATACATAAACATCCATGCGGTCCACCTATTTGAATTTTAGATTAATCATGCTAAGAAGTTTCATTTCTTATTTTCTTTGTTAAAACTAAATGCATAATTGGTTATAGCATTCTAATGTGATAATCTGGCTAAGAATGTTTCTAAATGCATTGCTTATAAACTTCCAAGTAATTATTTGACTCTGTGACATGTGGAAAAAGAAAATCATTTTTCATTTGGCATTTTGTGAATTGAAGAATATTAAGTTTTTTTTTTAATTAGTGCCATAATAATGACAACCTGAGATACTACTGATTTGATTGCAGAGTACAGTTTAGTAATTGACGTATTGTGGGTTTTGTATTTTGCAGAGAACAAGCTGGAAAAACTTATTTGCATACGTGGGGCCTGGATTTCTTGTTTCATTGCATATATCGACCCTGGAAACTGTAAGATCACTTATTCATCCTTTGTTTTTCAAATTAAAGAAAATATATACTTCATAACATAGATATGCTTATTATATTTTTACAATGGCTTGTAGTTGAGACGGATCTTCAATCAGGAGCACAATATAAATATGAGGTGTGTATGGTATAGTTTTGTGTAGTTGTTTCAGCTTGGATTCATTTTTCCAATTTAGGCCAGATATACCTTGAACAGTAGTTGATTTCCTTTATGATGTTAAAGTATGTATAATTGGATTTGGACCCACATAACTTTGTTAGACTCAAATGGCATTTGTAAAAGCTACGACCAATTTCACTGATATAAAATAGGTTCATATTTTTAGCTAGGGAGTGGTTTTTTGTACCTATAAAGGTTTCTAATTGATGATTTTGCAGATTTAAATTTTGTCATTGAATGCAATTAGGCCAATTTTTGTAACATTGATGTTTCCTTTTAGGTTGTTGTTTTGGTAAGAATTTGTGAAGAGTGTTAAATCTCGTATATGAAGTGTACAGGTAAGAATAATTTTAATTTCTTGTTCAAAATAGTTATATGTGTATTATTAATATTATTTTTTATATATATAATAATTTTAGGCATTTTCAAGTCAATCTTATAATGGACATATCTAAACGTCGAGCATGGATGTATAATAGGCTTCTTCCTGGTCGGGAGGCATATACAAATGAATTTTTAAGTGGCCTCGATGTGTTTATGACTTTTGCTTGTCAACAACCAAGCTTTTTGATTGAAGGAAAAATAAGGTGTCCATGTAAGGAATGCAAAAATGAGAGGTTTTTAATTCCAGATGAAGTAAATGTTCACATTCTCCGAAAAGGATTTACATTTGAGTATTGGTATTGGACATCTCATGGAGAGAAAATTCCTCATACTAATGTTAATGTTGATATGCATTTAGTGTCGAGTAGTAGTCACCCATGGGGTTCTAATAGTGTTAATAGACATGAAGATATGGTGTTTGATGCTGCTGGTCTTAATCATGAGCAACATTTTATACCAAATGAAGAGGAACCTCCAAATATGGAAGCTGCCAAATTTTACAAAATGTTAAATTCGGCTCAACAACCATTATGGCCGGGATGTAAAAATACATCAGAGTTGTCTGCTGCTATTACGATGTTGAGTATAAAATCTAAACACAATATGTCGCAAGCTTGTTTTAATGACGTCATGAAATTTATGAAAGAGTCAAACCACCCAGAGAATGTTATTCCTTCCAATTTTAGGGAAACAAAGAAACTTGTAGCAGGACTTGGTTTATCGAGGATAAAAATAGATTGTTGCATTGATGGATGTATGTTGTATTACAAAAGTGATAGTACTTTGAAGGAATGCAAATTTTGTAGAAAGCCTCGATATAAAGCACTCAATGAATGCAAGAAAAATCCTAAAGATGTTCCCCATAAGAGATTGCATTACTTGCCACTCATTCCTAGATTACAAAGGTTATATGCTTCAACGAGATCTGCAGAGCACATGAGGTGGCACTATGAAAATCGTAGGGAAGGTGTGTTGTGTCATCCTTCAGACGGGGAAGCTTGGAAGGAATTTGATAAATTATATCCTGAATTTACCTCAGAACCTCGAAATGTGAGACTTGGCTTGTGTGCCGATGGGTTCACTCCTTTTAGCCAATCAACAATACCATATTCTTGTTGGCCAGTAATTATCACACCATATAATCTTCCTCCAGAATTATGTATGATGACTCCTTATATGTTCTTGACTTTGATCATTCCAGGTCCACATAATCCAAAAGCTAAAATTGATGTGTATTTACAACCATTGGTAGATGAATTGCAACAATTGTGGAATAATGGTGTAGTAACATATGATGCCTCAAAAAAGCAAAATTTTCTATTGAGAGCTGCATTATTATGGACAATAAATGATTTTCCTGCATATGGCATGTTGTCTGGGTGGAGTACTGCTGGAAAATTTGCTTGTCCAATATGTATGAAAAAATCAAAAGCTTTTTCACTAAAAAATGGAAGAAAAATGACTTGGTTTGATTGTCATCGTCAATTTTTACCTCAGAATCATGTTTTTAGAAGAAATAAGGATGCTTTTTACAAAAATAGAATTGAGAAAGATGAGTCTCCTCCTAGATTAAGTGGTGAGCAAGTATGGGATATGGTCTCTAATATTCCTAAGTCAACTGAAGTGAAGATATGCAATGTACCTGGTCATGGACATTCCCATAATTGGACAAAGAGAAGCATATTTTGGGATTTACCATATTGGAAACACAATTTATTGAGACACAATTTAGATGTTATGCACATAGAAAAAAATGTCTTTGAAAATTTGTTTCATACTGTTATGGATACCAAAGAGAAAACTAAAGACAATGAGAAAGCGCGAATGGACTTGGCATTGTATTGTAATAGAAAAGAGTTATTATTAAAAACAAATCCTAATGGGAAATGTATAAAGCCTAGAGCCAACTTTTGTTTATCAAACAAACAAAAGAATGATGTGTGTGAATGGGTGAAGGATTTAAAGATGCCTGATGGATATGCTTCCAACATTTCTAGATGTGTAGATACAAAATGCACAAGATTATATGGGATGAAAAGTCACGATTGTCATATTTTTATGGAATGTCTTCTCCCAATAGCTTTGAGAACTCTTCCTGAACCCATATGGAAGCCCATAACTGAGCTTAGCCAATTCTTCAGAGATTTATGTTCAAGTGTGTTACATGAAGATCATTTATTGCAAATGGAACAAAATATTCCTATAATATTGTGTAAGTTAGAACGTATATTTCCACCTGCATTCTTTGACTCTATGGAACATCTACCAATTCATTTGCCTTTTGAAGCTAGGATGGGTGGACCCGTTCAATATCGTTGGATGTACCCTTTTGAAAGGTAACATTCTTTTATACCCAATATCATTGTACAATTCACCAAATAATTGATTACATTTTTTGTACATAGGTTTCTAAATAAAATTAAAAAAACTGTGAAGAACAAGAGAAGTGTGAAAGGGTCCATTTGTGAAGCATACTTACTACAAGAGACATCTTATTTCAGTTCTCATTATTTTGCACCTCAAACTTGTGTGAATGAGGGAGTTCATGAAGACAATACAGAGCTAACATTATCCATATTTAAGCCATTTGGACAAACGGTGGGTAAATATAAAGAAAGGTGGCTTGATGATAGAGAAAGGTTGGCTGCCCAATTGCATGTTCTTTTGAACTGTAATGAGGTTAAACCGTTCATTGAGTAAGTGTCAAATATTATATAATTGTCAATTTTAATTAATTTAACAATAGTCATATAATTTAATTATCCTTTTTTGTAGTTTATATGTACAAACTTTGAAATGGGAATCTCAATGATGATATCATTGATAAACAAATAGAAGCTGATTTTCCACGATGGTTTGAAGAATATGTAAGTTTTGCTTTGATTAAACAAATTAATTTGATAACATATTTTATTAAGTTATTTAATTACAACTTTTATTTGAATAGGTAAAACAGAATCACCAACTTAGGTTACAAAATTCAAACTTCTATGACTTGGCAAAGGGACCTTTGAGGATAGCAAAGTTGTGGCCAATTTATTTTGTGAATGGGTACAAATTTCACACAACATCATGGGGTAAAGGCAAAACGACATATAATAGTGGAGTATGTGTTAGTGGAATTGGACAAGGTGAAACATCAAGTGATTATTATGGTGTTCTTGTAGAGATATTAGAATTGGAATGGCCAAGTCAATCACAAAAAAAGTTAGTTTTATTTTATTGTGATTGGTTTGATCCTTCAAACCATGGGACGAGAACACATAAGCAATATAAGATTGTAGAGGTAAGAAAAAGAAGAAAATACGAAAAATTTGATCCTTTTATTTTTCCAAAAGCTGCAACTCAAGTTTACTACTCATCTTTTCCTGGGCGACAAAAGGATAAGGTTGATTGGCTGGTAGTTATCAAAACAAAACCAAGGGGAGTTGTTGATGATAGACATACTTTAGAAGTTGCATATCAAATGAATGAGTCACAAGTTAATACAATAATTGAGGATGACCCAATTGACCACCTACAAGAAGATGAGGTTGTTGGTGAAGAGGTTGATTTTGATATAACATTCATTGAAAATGAAGAAGATGAAGAAGAAGAAGAAGAAGATGATGATGATGATGATGATGATGATGAAAGTCAAGATTTAATGGATGAAAAAGAAGATGAAAATTAACATTAAGAGTACATGATAATGTTATCTTATTATTACATTCTAGTATTGTTGACAATATTATTTACCTTTTGAGATTATAAATGTGATATGCTTTTCTTTATGTGTCATAAAATATATTTTCTGATTTTTTATTATGATACTTAAAAATTATATGTTTGATTCTAAAAGAGCAATGCAACCCACTAAAAGGATGAGAGGAAAAAAAATGCACAAACTCATATACCATTTATACTACCATCAACCAACCTTGAAACTTATTCCAAGCAAATAACTCGGCCTCTACCTTCATTTCGATCACCATTTCGACCTCCATTTCCAAATTTATCTCGACCTCCACCTTCATCTCAACCTCCACCTCCACCTTCACCTTCCCATCTATCTCAACCTCCACCTCCTCCTTCATCTCAACCTCCACCTTGTTCACCCCGACCTTCACCTTCACATCTATCTCAACCTCCACCTCCTCCTTTATGTCAACCTCGACCTTGTCCACTTTTATTTCGACCTTCACCTTCACATCTATCTCAACCTCCACCTCCTCCTTCAACTCAGCCTCAACCTTGTCCACCTCTATTTCGACCTTCACCTTCACATCTATCTCAACCTCCATCTCTATCTCCTCCTTCATCTCAGCCTCCACCTTGTCCACCTTTATTTCGACCTTCACCTTCACATTTATCTCAACCTCCACCTCCTCCTTCATCTCAGCCTCCACATCCACCTATATATCAACCTCCTCCTCCACCTCCACATCCACATAGGCCCTCCCAATATCAACCTATCCTTACTCAACAGGTCTTTCAAATGCATGATTTTCAAGTGGCAAATGAAGCTCCATCTTCTTCGTCTAGCCATGTTAGTGGAGACAATAATAGGAAGAAAATCTTAATACTCCCAGAAGGCGATGGGTAAGTAACTTTTTTAGTGAATTATTTTAACTTTCTTAACATAATATAATTTTTATTGTCTTATATAGGTTTGATCAACACAAGTTGGTAGTGGGGACGATTGCTTCAATCATTCGCTCTAACTTGGAAGAGGCAAAACCTTCATGGAAGAAGTTATCCATGGATCAAAGGGAATCTTGGTTTGATATATTCAAAGTAATTAATTTTTAAATTTTGATTAAAAGATTTTATTTATTTTTGGAAAATGTCTCTAGTATAATCATTATCTTTTTCATTTTTCTCAAAAATAATGTAGTCAAAATTTTCTTGGCCACCTCAATATAATGACATGGTGCGACGTAACTTTGAGAGAAGAGGTGCATCTAAAATGTCTCAATTAATGCAAGATGCTAGAAAAGATCTAGAGAAAAAACCCATTTGGATGGGACAGAATGTGTGGGGACAATTAAAGACACATTGGGAATCTACAAGTTTTAAAAAGAAGTCTGAAATAAATAAAAGAAATCGGGTAGCTTTGGATGGTGCATCTCTTCATACAGGTGGATCAATACCTCATCGCTTACATTGGAAGAGAATGGTATTATTACTTTACTTTGTTTTTTATAATTTACATTTTAGAATTAATAACTTTAAACTTTCTTTGTTATCAGAAAGAGGAAAAAGGAATAGACCCATCATTGACTGAGTTTTATTTTCGTACACATCGGAGAAAGAAGGATCAAAGTTGGGTTGGTCCTCATGCCAAAATTGCTTTTGTAAGTTTTCAATTTGATAAGCACATTGGTAGTGATAAGCACGTAGTCAAATATGAAAGTAGTTATCTATTAATTAGCTTGGCATTTGAGTTAAAGAAATCAATATTATACACATATATTTCTTTAATTGATTGAAGAATTTGGAAGGGACCGAGCTTTATGGCCAGAGATAATAAAAGTTATGTAAAACTGCTATTTCATTTCTTTATTTTGAAAGAATGATACAATATTTTAAAAAATTGAACATTTTTCACTCACTTTTGTTATTTATATATATTTTTTCATTAAGTACATTTTCATTTGCAGGAGAAATTTGAACAAAAGAAAAATGAGTTATTAGCTCATAGTTTTGGGGAGGATGCAATTGATGGTGAACAATCCATGAGCCAAATGCCAACAGATTTGGATATATGGATTGATTCAGTTGGAAAAAATAAGGGAAGAATATTTGGTCTTGGATCTCTAGGAAAAATGTTAATCATATCTTCAAATAAGAAGTCAAATTTTGAAAATGTTGATGCTTTAAGGAGTCAAATTCATGCCTTAAATGAATCATTACATAGGCAAGAACAAGAAAAACAAGAAATGAGACAAGAGTTACAAAGACAGAAGAAAGATAAGCAAAAAATGAAAAAAGAGTTGACCGAAACTAAGAATCAAGTAGCAGCCTTAATGCAACACTTAGGGTTTGTTGCATCTTCTTCTTTACCATCTTCATCATCTCAACATAGCAATGAAAATGATGATGATGAAGACAGTGATCATATTGAAGATGGTAATATTTAAAATTTTATTCTTGAGTTATTATAACACTTAACTGAATTATTGAAGGTGATAATGAAATTGCAGGGAATTAAAGATATGATGTGATTTTGACAACAACAATGATTTGCTTTGATGCCTTTTTTTAGAAGGTTTTAAAGTTTTGAATTATTTATATTGTTTGACACTTTAATATTTGAGTTTAGTCATTCACACTTTTTCATTTGAATTTCAAGATTAAAGATTTGATATAATTCTGACAATGACAAAAATTTGCATTGCAATTGTTGGTCTTTTGTTATTCAGATTACCTAAGAAAGATCATCGTGCGGGGAAGATCTTTCAAGTCTAACAAGGTTGGAGATATTCTACCAAAATTTGTGCAGGTAAAAATATATTTGTAAGTAATTATAAATTTAGTTAATTTTGAACTCTTGTTATTGTTTGCTATAAATGAAATATAAAGTATTGTCTTAAAATGAATAGTAGTAATAGTACATTAATTTTAAATAATAATATTGTTTGTAGGGAATTTGGTGAACTTTTCTAACCAGGTGTTGCATATCATTTTTGTTTTGTAACTTTTCCTCTATGCTTGCTATTCTCAAATTAATACGGACCAAATTTTTTGCTCAACAATGGAGAACGTAGTTATTTTGTATACCTAAGAACTCAACAATGCAAGGGAACAAGGTTCTCCGTATAAATGAATCTCATGTTTCAAGACAATCTCATGTTTCTAAACATTGATAATTTCATTTCATGCATTTGTGATAATTACATTCATATAATAGTATTTTACTTTGTTTATGTTTTGTCTTATCATTCCTAAGGATCATGTTGATGTAAGACTAAATAATTCTCTTAAAAAATATTTCACGTTAATTTTGTTTTTAGCTTAGTTTTTTAGTTGAATAAACAAATAATTTTTCTTTTATAATCATTTAATTTTGTAATAAAATAAAATATATAATAAATAGTTTTTTAATTTCATATATATATATATATATATATAATTTAAAATTTATACAAATTTTTTTTAGATGTTTTTAAAAAATAACCTCATAAAAAATTACTTGCGAATTTAAAATTAGCAAGAAATTTCCTGCAAATATAAAATTACCAAGAAATTATTTGTAAATTTAAAATTACTTGCGAATTTGAAATTGGTAAAAATTTACATGCAGATTTAAATTGCAAGAAATTATATACAAATTTAAATTTGCAAAAAATTACTTACGAATTTTTTCACACAAAATTTTGTAAAAAAATTTTGTGAATATTAAATCCCTGGATAATTTATTATCCACAAGCTAATTACGTGCTAATAAAAATTTGTATGAAAATTCCCAAGAAACTTATTTTCTGCGAATTTTGACAAAAAATTGGTAAAAAAAATCCCATAAAAATTAAAAATTTCTAGTAGTGTCGGTGCCCTACAAAATAGAAAAATACCTAATCGATTTGTTTGTCATTAGATATGGACTTTGAATTTAACTATAGTTAGATTTAGGACATGTTTGTAATTAATTTTAATTATGATTTAATTAGTTTTAACTCTAGTTAACTCACATTTGAATCTATAAGTAAGGTATTTTCGTGTTATTATAAGATACACCAAATTTTATTTTTCAATTATTTAAAGCTAGTTCAAGTTCTCTTAATTCTGATTCTTTTCTCTTGCTATCTCTTTAGTTTTTAGTTTAGTTTTCTCTTTGTCTCTTTAGTTTCCATTTTTTTCTATTTTTTTTAGTGTTCTTCTTGCTTTACTTTGATTGTTCTCTCAATTCAATTTTGTTTTACATTTGTTCTACATGAATTTCTACTTCAATTCATCACATAATCATAGATTATTCATAATGTTGTTTCCAACTTTGTTATTCTTCATTGTTTTCGGTTTTAACATTGTTTTGACAGTGATTTGAGCGTGATTCTTCTTATTTTTCAAGTCTTAATCGGTTCCTTATTCATTAAGGAGAAGAATCATGTCTCATTAGTCAATTTCACAAATTTTTCATATGTTGTTTCGTTATTCTTGTTGTTTTGATGTTGTTTTACCATTTCAATTTTGTTTTTGTTGTTTTGGCTTAATTTCTTCAATTTGATTGGTTAGAATGTTGTTCTTAGATGTTGTTTCAAGTTTTTTTACTTTGTTTTAGAATTCAATCGGTCAAAAATCATTTTAGGAGTATTTTCTGTTTGGTTTGTTTATAATAATTTATGAGCAGTTTTCAATTTAGGAATAACTTTTACATTTGATTTAATTTTTGTGTTTGATTTTGTAGAACTTGTTATTCATAATCCTTTGCTATTTTTGCATAATTTAGAAGTTCTAAATATTAGTTAATAGGTTTTTAAGTTTTTCAAACAATTAGAAGATTGTTTCCAATTAATCTTTACATTTGGTTATGAGTAGTTTCAAGTTTTTATCCATTTGAATTCTTCAATTGTTTCAATTTGTTCTTACAGTATTTTTTGTACAGATTTAATTTCAAGCATCATTTGATTCTGTTTTTGTTAATTCAAAATTGTTTTAGTTTCTAAAATTTTTTACAAACATGTTACATACACTAGTGTAGTATAGTTTAGAATTCTAGTCTAGTTTTTTATATTGTTTCGGATTATAGGCTTAATTCTTCTTAATTATTTGTGTTCTAAAATATTTAAAAACATTTCTAATTCTATTTTGAACTTAGTTTAATTTTGTTTGCATTTTATTAATTGCATATTTTAGGCAATTTATTAAGTCATGTTCATATGCATAGTTAGCAAATGTTTTAGTTTAATTGCACTTTTCAATTCGATTTTCCAAAGTTTTGTAGTTTTTACATCATTTTAATCATTTTCTAGTTCCAATTGTGTGCTTAATCAATTTGGTTTCTAGTTTTGATAATTGATTAGTTTAATTTTCATTAGATTTACAAGATACAAAATTTTCTAGTCAACTCTGTCACAAAATTCATAACTAATTTTGTTTTTGAATTTAATGTTTAGTTACATTTAAAATTTTTACCAATTTTCGTACAAAACAATTTGACACATTTTAATATACTGATTTAAAATTTCTTTTAATTTTTTACTTTCTTTTTTTACTTTTATAACTAAAAATCTCCATAAATTTACTTAATTTTTTTTTCTATTCAAATTATACATCATAAATTTTTATTTGTAATTTCACTCTTGAATTAATACTTAATTTACCTCTTATTATCCACTTGGAGAAACTAAATTTTGAAAACGTTATCAGCTCATCTCCTCAACGCATAGCTCATAAAAGA